ACAGTCAGGCAACCCTGACGGCTTACATGCCGTTACTTTGACACATTTTGCTGCATTTATGTTTAGTTTTTTTTATTGTTTTCTCTCAGCTTTCCAGCTCCACCTTTTCACCACTTCTTCCACACTAAACTTTTTCACAAGGTGCGTGAGAAGGTAGAGGGGAGCCGGTCGCATTAAGAAAGTTGATTGAACAATCCGGTGGCAGTATTTAAAAAATGAACAAATGGGCTGCTGTCAGTGCTTTGACACCTGTTGTGCCAAGGTAGTATTACATTTTATTAAATGTATGTATATTAACTGTATGGGTTCCCTTTGCTTGTCTTTGCCTGAAGGGCCGCCATGCACCAGGTGTCATGCAAAGCTAGTTATCCCTGACAGAATTAGTTTCTCCCCCGTCGGGAGCGCAGGGGAAACAAATGCTGTCAGAGATAACAGTAGCATGATGGTGCAAGTATTTCCTGTTTTTTCACAATATTAGTTTTGGCTATGATATTATACAGAAGACAACTTATTGCAGGAAGAAGAGGAGTGGGAAAAGGTGGTGGCAGAAGGGGATTGGGGGGGGGGGCAGTATATCTTGAGGTTCAATGTTGTTATGGCACTGAGAAGTAAACTGCTTTTGACGCTGTTTCTCAGGTGGCAACAGGTCAAAAGTGAGACCAAGATTATTTACTCAACCCTGCTAAATTGAGTAAGTCCTGTAGAGAGGCCGTAGTTTCTGCACAATGTGATACAGTACTTTCTGTAAAAAGTCATGAGCTGTTTTTGACTCACTTTGGTCTTCCCGAGTACTCTGATGAAATGAAGTCATAGCTGTACCTTCTGCTAACTGCAGAGTTTTCTTTAAATTGCAACAATTAAAGTCTCACAAGGAGGAATTTAGCAAATGGAGCAAATAGAGTCCAGTTTGTGCATTAGGTCAGTGATTATGTCATGTTGACTTGTGGATGATTAAACACTGCTGTATAAAACAACTGTTGTTGTTTGGCAAATAGAATACATGGAGTGATGTCCTGATGTTTGCAGTATTACACCGCTTCCATTTACATAAACAGCTGGTATCTGTAGAGCTCTGTAGGGAAAGAAGAAACTCTTGACTCAGACTAACTCTCCTATGTCCACTGTGTGTCTCCGCAGCAATGTAATTACATAAAATAAAATAGAATGCACTCATACTCTGCATCACCAA